GTGGGGAAATTCACGTGACTGTAATGAAATCCCTCCACTTGTACACACTTGCTGGGGCTAACGGTTTGTGTGCATGCGTTGGCAGTGAATATCGCCTCCTGGCAGCATTATGACCACAGTTCAATTTAAATTAAGTCCTGCTGTAACAAACTATCACCTTTTTTTGCGTCCATGTTAAAACTGGTTGCATAAAGAGTGATATGGGGAGGGGGGCAGGGACTGCTCAACTAGGGCTTCTTGCCTTTTTTTTAAATTATGGTTTCATTATAACAACTGATTGACTGTCTGTATCAATAGTTAGACCAACTTTTTTTAATCATCTTGCCCTACTTAGCTCATGTGTTCGCATCCTAACATTGCTTGTGGCACAAACGTGAGGATGAATGGGAATTGTCAGTTTGTTGTCACTGTGAGCCGCTGTACATTGTGACAGCATTGACGATAACGTGGGCAGTGTTTCTTGTCTAAGTATTGGACTGACAAAAGGAAATTTATTTCAACAATTATCTTCACAGTGAAAAGTGTTTCCGAAATCGTGTAGGTTGATCTTGCCGCCTGTGTTGTCCTTCTCTTACACTGTATTGTAGTGGCAGCGCTGCACTAAAATTAGCACAACTCAAAATTAAAAATAATGATCCTTTGTTAATTAGCTAACAGATTACAGTTTATGAGCCATTTAAAGATGTTGTGCTGGAATAATGACAGAGAAAGCGTCTCCGTATCGGTAAAATCTTGTTTTGACCTTTAATTAAAGTAGATTACCCAGTTGTACAATTGTGGGTTAATGAAACGCACACAAAAAATGTCAAAGTGGAACAGCTTCTGCAAGGGATAACTTGAAGGCCAATCTGGCAATTTTTTCACCATGTAAAGGTTATTGTGTTTCTATGTTCCTGAGACACTCTTGTCACGGGCCCAATAGCAGAAATGCTGAGGAAACTTGAAAATAATTTTTAATAAGCAAGAAGGCCCAATAGCGAAACCTAAGCGAGTGCACTGTCTACACATGATGTACTACCGTATTTACTAGCGTAATGAACGCACTGGCATAATAAACGCAGCTCCGCTGCGGTGGTCTAGTGGCTAAGGTACTCGGCTACTGACCCGCAGGTCGCGGGATCGAATCCCAGCTGCGGCAGCTGCATTTCAGATGGAGGTGGAAATGTTGTAGGCCCTTGTGCTCAGATTTAGGTGCAGGTTAAAGAACCCCAGGTGGTCTAAATTTCTGGAGCACTCCATTACGGCATCTCTCGTAATCATATGGTGGTTTTGGGACGTTAGACCCCATAAATCAATCAATCATCATATCATATAATAAACACACCCCCAACTTCAGTCATAAAAATTTGAATTTTTTTCTCCTGCGTATTAAACGATTCCCTACATTCATCCGCTACAGTCCCGCCAACCGACACCTGGCTCCTTCTCACCCGTTGGATTTCTTGTTTTTTATTATTTTGCCGACTCCCCCCCCCCCCCCCCCCTGCCCGTTGCCGCATTGCTTTTCTTTCTATCTGTGTGTAGCACATCCCCCGCCGTCGTTTTTTTTTTTTCTTTCTCTGTGCGCCACAGCGGAGTTCACAAATGGTGCGAGTGTAGAGACATCGCAGCTGATAAGCACACAGCGTGCGAAGGTCACGAAACTGCTCACGTCAACTGATGGTCGCTTCTTGCGATTACAAAACTTTAAAGCCCAACCACGTGCACGCAATTTTCTAGCGACGATGACAGGATTTGCTGTTGTGAAGGGTCATTCGTCCCTATCGTATTTCAGGTTGCTGTAAAACCAGAAAAGATCGCTTGTCGTCTAGAAAAGATCATGATGATTGCTGCAACATGATAGCACCCTCGATTCTCACTTTTGCTTTTAAGACGTCCCCCGCTACGCCACCGATTACCAAAGAGAGGGAAGACCACTCAACCCCTTGTCTATCCGGTTCCCTCTTGGCTGTGTGTCTCAAACACTTCCCACATACAGGGATTCATGCTGGGGCCGGGAAGTAAGAGACGCTACGACCTGTTCCTGTTTACTGATTTATTTAATTTATTACTAACTGCAAACATCGTACACCCGCGTACATCAACAACCACACAAAATTATAACACATGATTTAGGCACTCGCGACGTTCGACACAGGGCAGGCACATAAAGAAAGTAACTGCAACAATACAAGGGTATGCATATATAAAGAAAACACACGACGACACAAATGATGAAGTTATCAATGAACAAAACCACGCAATGTCTCAACGCGCCACCTCCCTTCCCCTAAAGCTAATCTAAATAAGGTGCATAAAGTCCGTCTCACGAAAGGTCCATGTTGACGGGGGCCTTGGAGCTGGCTGTTCGAGTCGGGGCTCAGGGCTTCTTCCTGGGGTCATTGTCCAATTCGTCGGCGTCTTCATCGTCTTCGTCATCGTCGTCTTTGTCGTGCCTCTCAGTGATTTCTATCTTAGTCCTCTTTCGTAATGCTCCATCGACTCGCCTCCTATCCCTAGCTTTCATTCCTCATCGTACCGTCCTTGCCCCAGTCATCATCTCATCGCTATCTCTTCGCACCGTTATCTTCCTTTTCCATTCCGTCTCTCTACCATCTCGAGCTCATCGTATCTCTGACCCCCCTCGTATCGTCTGGTAGTCCCTTTTTGTAGGACCCGACTCCGCCCCTCCGTTGCACCTAGCCAATTGCCACTGTTGACACGACACATTTCTCTGTCAGTCGGAGTGTATCATTTTCAACGGCCGCCCCCGCGGCCCACACCAGTAGAAAACCCTCTCCCAAACAAAGCCCAGCAAATAACAATGTACAAACTCAAGCCTCAGAGAGAGAGATGGGCGAGCTGTCCCAAGACACTTTAATTACGGGCGAACAATGGTCCCGATGCTCCTGACAAAGTGCGTCGTCTGTGATGGCCAACGTTCGGAGTTTGCAGTGTTGTGCCAAAATGTTTTCAGCCAAACCAATTGCCCCGGTTCCTGGTACTCGATGAGCCGATGTCCAGAACGAGTCTCGACGTTTTCATGCAGCTCGGTGTCTCCCGCGAAATTCTCCGCAGCCGCCGCTTCTTCGTCATTCAACGCCGCGGGTGGCCATCCGCGCAGAACGCAGTAATGAGCCCTGGAGCCACGGAGGCTGACGGAAAGTCAGGCCGGACCCGGCACAGGCGCTGCAGCGGGGTCGCATTCCCCGAACCAACAAAAGGTGCTCTGCTGCCCTCCCATGCCACAAATCTGAAGGGTGCACGCGGATTATTGCCACCGTACACCCTACACCGTGTCTTTAGACAACAAGGCGCCGCCCGGTCCTCGTGTTTGTGAGAACAGTAGAAATAATCCTTCCAGGTACTCCACTCCGGAATGCCCATTCGTTACACCGAAGGTTTTCTTTTCCTTTTTTTTAATGCGTGGGTTTAAGAAACGAGCATAAACATCTTGAAAGGACCGGGGTTCAGTCCGTGTTTGTGGGGACGTCACACTTTGCTTGTTATCCGCGCGTACAGGAACTTCTCAAGTTGAAGCGAGGTGGCAGCCGTATTTTGTCATTAATCTTGCTATCGATGCCCCGCCGCGGTGGTCTGGTGGCTAAGGTACTCGGTTGCTGACCCGCAGGTCGCGGGCTCGATTCCCGGCTGCGGCGGCTGCATTTCCGATGGAGGCGGAAATGTTGTAGGCCCGTGTACTCAGATTTGGGTGCACGTTAAAGAACCCCAGGTGGTCAAAATTTCCGGAGCCCTCCACTACGGCGTCTCTCATAATCAAATGGTGGTTTTGGGACGTTAAACCCCACAAATCAATCAATCAATCTTGCTATCGATGGTTTGTTTTGATGCTTTGGGGCTAGCTTTGCAATGTTGGTTACTTGCTACAATGTTAATGGCGTCATCACGGTTGTCGTATGAGGTTGCCGTGAAGTTGGCAAAGTGTGTTGTACCGCACGCTTTTGGGCGCCCCTGGAGATCACAGCAGATACCACTGTTGTGGTTAAATGATTACGAGAAAAGATAGCCGCAAAACGCTTTTATGGCATGTGCGGGCGGCCCAAGGACAGCTTGCAGAAGATAGCGCCATCAACCACCAACGATAAGTAAAGTGCAACAAAGATGCTGTTTCCAAACAATGTATGCTTGTGTCGATCGCGAAAGGCTCAGTGACCCAACTTTTTTTTCCATCACCACATTTTTTGCTCCTCTCGAAAGAGTTTTCATTAAACTTACTCCGCACGATAAACGCACCCCCCAAATTTGCTCCAATTTTTCGAGAAAAAAAAAAGTGCGTTCATTACAGAAGTAAATATGATATTTGGTAAGAACCGGAAGTCGTATACTGGTCCCGCTGGTGCGAAATATGAAAACTGTGAAAGCCAGACCAGCGAAGTGCCGGCCAAACACTACAGAGGGAGGAAGAGGATTTTCCACGGCAAACAGCGCTGCCGTCACCTTGTGGCCAGCATAATAAACGCTGTAGTGATACCATCGGCTGCGTCACTTTCGTTGACATGCCAAACATGAGGTCACACAGGCAGTGTTGCCAATAATTCTGGCAAGCAGGTGAGCGTTTTGAGGCAATCTTTAAAATTTATTTCCAAACAATCAGCACGTCTCTTATGCCTGTAATTTGGCATGAATGATGGAAATGTGCAAAGGAACATACCCAGGAAATTTTATTACAATTTATCGACCTCGAAAAAATTGCTGGAGTTGGCCTTTAAGAGCACAGACTCTCATTGGTAATTAGGTGGTCGCAAGAAGATTATTTGAGCCCCACACTAAATGTGTCAAGCGATATCAGGCTGACCCCCCCCCCCCCCCCCCCCCAATCAGGAGTGTATCAGCAAAAGGTAAAACTAAACGTAGTTTAAATAGCCTTAACTAGTTTGTATTTCTGTTTTTCCATAACTGTACATCTATTAGTTGTTGCCAACAGTAAGACTTCTTTTTCGGGTGTCTGTTACTTACTAAACTTGTCACCTTTTTCTTTTTCTTTTCCTGAAAAATAAAAGCCATGAAGGTGCCAATAGCCCAAGGAGTACGGCAACCTGAACTGAAGCTTAACCTCAAAAAGAATGCGAACAAGAAGTGCTGCTGAGGATTGAAGCCACAGACTTTGGTGCAGGATATATGAACTGGCCTTATTTGCCATATGGCATATAGCCTTGCTCCCTTTGCTTGAAGCTTGCCACAAGCCTGTGTACTTTGTAATGTGAGGCTGAACATGTCCATGCTGTTGGGAGTGTAAAGCACATTTGGTCATTGCACTTGGCAGTGCTCTTTGTTCTGTGATTTGTAGTCTAATGATGCAACTGCACACTTGTTGTCTTTCACCCAAACTTTTTGTAATTTATCCTAGTACCAAGCACAGTTAGCACTTTACCCAGCAATAGGAAGGTGTAATATGGGGTTTTGCACAGCCATGTAAACGATGCTGTATTGCATACGATGCTGTATTGCATACAATGCTGTATTACATACGATGCTGTATGCAAGAGGCTGTATATCATAAACACTCCTGTGAGAAATCATTCCTTTTGTTTTATTAAGCACCAGTCATAAATATGTGTTTATCAATGACACGGAGGGCATACAGCCAAGGAAAAGAAAATATTTCAGATTCGTGAATGGAAGTGCCTAAAATTGTTACTTCTTGTTGAACAACATGTTTCATAGCAAGCTCAAAATGTTTGCATTGTTTTTGACCTGTGGTAAGCAGTGCTTTCTCATTTGAGAAGTGCAGTTACGCCACTTAACTGGCAAGTGCTCCTTATTGCTTGGTTTTATTTCCTTTTTAATGAGTGATATAATCTTTATTTGCTCCTAAAGAAGACTCATTGCTGTTGTTCACGTGGCTTCGGCATGCATGTTGCTTTGTGCAGTGGTGTAGAGGGCTTGATTTTTTTTTAACATGTATATTCGACATGTGTGAATAGCAATGTAAACCTTAGTGAACACTTTTTCACCGTGTTATAGCAACAGACTGCGGTTTGCTCAAACTGTTCAAGGGTTTATCTTTAAACTCAGATGATACATTATCTCTAGTTTTATTTATAAATGTGTTTTATGCTTTTCATTTAATGGATAGACTGTGCTATTGTGGATCACTTTGCTTGTAGACTGTGTCATAATAGCAAAAGTTTATTGTGTGTATGTGATGTGTGTGTATTCACCTGGCTTTTATCTGTTTGAATGTTTTTTAGGGCCGCTGTACGCACAATGTATGCAGGATATTCTTTTGTAATGTTTGAAACATCTTTATTTACTGTCGCACTTTCTATTTGACTCAAATAACTTGAAGAAAAATTTAGAAGCGCTTGTCAGTAATGCTCTAATCATTGGACTGAACTAACTTTTTGGGGTGATTATTAAGGCTCTTTAAATTGAGCGGTTTATAAGCTCAATTGTTTGTTTCCTGAGTGTCACTCTACAATGACAAAAGCACTTTCATTACTTAATGTCTTAAGAATGTGCCATAAAAAACTAGCTTTCACGTACAAGACTGTAACCACATATACCATTAGTACATTCTGAACTTACACCTTAGTATAAACAGAAATACTGGCTTGTGAGACAAGTGTGTGCATATTTCTTTGAGGAACCCGTGTCACTCAATCAAACAACAATCTTGCAAATGATTTAATGTGCACTGTTAAATATTTCATGCAAACGCTATCAAAAGCAGGGTCTCAGTGCCTGTTGCATTGCATTACTTAGCTTCACATTCCTGGTTATGCCCCTGGCTACAACTGCTACATACTGACGGGTTCGAGTGCAAAAATTCCTGTGACCTTCACACAGTCTAGAAGGTCAGGTGGGCTGACATTAATCTGAAGCTATTCAGTGATGTCTTATATAGCACCTTGTGTGGATTGAGGCATTGAACCTCGCTGTTTAATTTATATTCAACAAATTTCACAGCCATGAAAAAGTCTTTGGTCTTGTATTAACTTGAATTAGATACTAACCTAATGCTAATGATAATCTTTCTCTGCCTGTACACTCTTTGTGTGTTCCTTGCTAAATGCTTTGCTTCAACACCACAGGATGTGAAGTTTGTGCAATCTTTACAATGGCTGCTCGAGCAGCCATTGTAACATGATTGTATTTCTACAAATAGAAATATTATGTTGCATTATATATAGGGAGCATTTTCTGTCGTTGTTATAAAACTGTAGTGTTGAAACAATTGACAAAATCGAGAGTCATTAAGCTATTTTGAGGAGCTGTGCTAGATGTTGTGGAGCAGTGTAAATAATTTTGGCCACGTGGGGTTTAGTTTTGCATGACCGGAACTCTATACGAGAGTATTTTTGCATTCAGTCTCTACTAGAATGTTGCCATTATGGTCAGGTTTAGAAAACTGACCATGCCATTGAAAGGGGTGCAAAATATCAAGCTAGCTTTACTGTTTTTTTTTTTTTTACTGAGCTATGTTTTGAACTGGTGGGTTAAAGTAATTACATCATTTGTCTCTGGATAATTCATACTGCTGGCCATTTAAAGTGATAATGGTTAGGTCCTGTTTTCAAGCCAGTGGCAAAGTGGAAAATATATTGTTACGTGCACAGTAGTCAAACATAGAGGAGAAAGTAAGAGCTGTAGCTGGTGGTCTCATGTTGGGCAGTATTAAAGGCTTTCCTGATGAATGATAAGATGTCACAGTTCCTATGATTGAACACAACGTACATCGAAAGCATGTTCACCAGTGTCCAATTCGTTCATTTAGAAAGGCCATTCGTCTGCAGATGATGAGGTGTAGAGTGTCTCGGTTCCTTGCCACACATACAGGAGTTGTTCTCCAGGAGTTGTACCCAGTGAAAGCAAGGTGCATGGCTGCAACACATGATTTCATGTTGACATTGATAGTTTGCCTCAAGAAGGGGAACGAAAGCAGGGTAAATGACTGCAACACATGGTTTTATGTGGACATTTATAATTTGCAGGCAGTGTTCAGTGAATGTGGTCTCGAGATTCCGATTGTCGGAGAGCTGTGGCTCGGCCTCCTCAAGTTTTATGCGGAAGAGTTCAACCTGCAAGAGCATGTCGTGAGCATCTGACAGAAGGCCCTTCTGATAAGGTTTGAGAAGCGATGGAAGTTGGTTCATTGCAGTTGAAGATTCTTTCAAGCTTGAAAGGGACCTCAGCAAATGCATGACGAAGACCAATCATGAAGACACTGACTTAAGGAATCTCACATTTTGAGAAGCTCGTTCAAAGGCCGCCTGCTCCGTATGCCACATTTCTTGTGTACTCATTCGATGCCCAAACTTTCCTGGAGGGGTGCCCCTGAAAGATGGATGCTGCCACATCTGCGGAATGATCAGACATCGTATGAGGCATATGAGGCAATGTCCAAAGCGACACAAAAATAACCGTGAAAAGCAGAAGAACAACGTGGCCGTCACGTAGCATGTACTTGCCAAGACCAAAGTGGTGGGCTTATGAACTCTGAGCCCGGGCCCCGGCAGCTGTGTGAGCAAAGTCTGGACTGGAACAAGATGAATGCAAAGGGGCAGCCAAATTGGAATAACATGAATTGACATCAGCCAAACCGGCAGCAGCAGGACTCCATGGGGCTCACCATCCTAGCCTTCTGTGAATGATCCTCAAGTGACTTAACAATTATATATATATATATATATATATATATATAACATTTAACAATTATATATATATATATATATATATATATATATATATATATATTGTAGCATTGATATTTGGCACAGGCCGGAACGCCAGCTGAAGAAGAGAAGGAAGAGTGTTGTTGCTGCTCGCGCTCGCTCCGCTTGACAGCTGGTCGGTTCTACCGCTACGTTTTCCACAAAGTAAACGTCTCTTCTGCTCACCACTAAAGGTGTACTATCAAGTGGTGGAGAGTGCTGGGTACCTTTTTCCATCCTGGAACTCCGCAACCGAACTCTACCTTCGCCATCAACAATGTCCATCGACGCTGCACAGCAGACGGCTCCTACATCTCCACCTGTCCACTGTCCCGGCGTCCCGAGAGAGCGAGATCCAGACATCTTCAACGGCACCGATGAGCAGGACGTCGAGGACTGGCTCTCTTCGTTCGAACGAGTAAGCGTCAACAACAGGTGGGACGAAAACGACAAACTGGGCCGCGTCCACTTTTACCTCAGAGGAGTAGCAGAGCTCTGGCTCAACAACCACGAAGCCGAGCTTACCGACTGGGCCACTTTCAAGACCACCTTCGCGGACGTGTTTGGCCGACCGACAGTGCGCAAGCTCCGTGCAGAACAGCGCTTGCGGGATCGCGCCCAACTGTCGGGAGAGGGTTTCACGTCCTACATTGAGGACGTCGTAGGCCTCTGCCGTCGCTTTGATCCTGACATGTCGGAAACCGCCAAGGTAAAACACATTATGAAGGGCATCGAGGACGATGCCTTCCACATGCTGGTGGCTAAAGACCCGCAAACAGTTTCGGAAGTCATCCAACACTGCCAAAGTTTCGATGAGTTGCGAAAACAGCGCATTTCAACGCGACGGCCTACTTTCGACATGACCAGCACGCCAGCATTGACCGTTGGTGCAATATCTCCAGAACAGACTGTATTGACCCCGCAAATCCAGCAATTTATCCGAGAGGAAGTGGCACGCCAGTTGTCCCTTGCCCCCTTGCTTCCCAGCAATACGCATGGGCTGACCTCGTCACTGCGCCAAACCATCGAAGAGCAAGTCTGCGAGGCACTTCCCCCCACGTACCAGCCACCACCTGTGTCCGCTCCCCTGACTTACGCTGACGTCGCGCGAAGGCAGGTACATGCGCCGTCAAACGTCGTCGACCCTGCCCACCAAGCGAACGCCTTCTACGCAACACACGTACCGGCAGGCTCGCATGTTCCCATTTACCGCCGTCCTTCAACGCTTCCCAACAACCCTTGGCGTACATCGGATAACAGACCTATCTGTTATTACTGTCGTCAGCCTGGCCATGTTGAGCGGTTCTGTCGCCGGCGCGTCCCTCACTCAGGCATTATTGATGGCACCTACGGCTACGCCCCCACAGAACCACCACAGACGCTGCCGTTCCATGCAGCTTCGGACACTTCTCCGCCGAGCCGCCGCGCCTTCAACCCACGCCGATCGCCTTCCCCGCGCCGACGTTCGCCTTCACCAATGCTTCGGCGTGCACCACCTGCCCAAACGGAAAACTGACCATCGCAGTTCCGGAGGCAAGAACTGCGCCACCGTCGAACTCCACAAGGCCTCGTTCTCTACCGAATAATGAAATAACTGTCTTGATTGAAGGTATCCCCGTTCAAGCATTAATAGATACCGGAGCTGCCGTGTCTGTATTGAGTGAAGCATTGTGTCGCAAGTTAAGAAAAGTTACGATTCCGCTTTCTGGTCTCTCCCTTCGTACGGCAACAGCGCATCACGTGAACCCTTCTATGACGTGCACGGCTCGGTTAATCATCCAGGGCGTTCTGTACGTGGTTGAATTTATCGTGTTTCCGCACTGCTCACACGACGTCATATTAGGCTGGGACTTCCTTTCCACACATCATGCCGTTGTTGATTGTGCCCGGGCCGAACTAGAATTGTCATCGCTCTCCGACGACGATTATAATAAGCCTTCTATTTCTCGTGTTGTCGTCGCCGCGGAGACTGATATTCCACCTATGTCTTCTGTTATTGTGCCGATCTCGTGCGACCATGCCGCTTTTTCGCACGCCATGTTCACGCCGTCAGAAGACTTCACTTCTCGAAAAAACGTTCTTCTGCCTTTTGCTCTTCTGACGGTCGAAGCCACTTGCGCAAACATTTATGCCACGAATCTCCTTTCTGTACCAGTCACCCTATTCCGTGGCGAATGCATCGGCCGCCTTGAGGACATCGATTGTGTTTGCACCAGTCAACTGCCCTATCAAGCAAAAAGCCTTGAGATCGCCAGTGTTACTTCCGCTCTCACATCCGCCACCTCTTCCCTCGACGTCTTCCTTCCATCGATTGATCCTGACCTTCCTGTTGACCAACGAACTCAACTCTTGACACTTCTCGACCACTTCCGCTCATCGTTCGACTTCAAACAAACCAGTCTGGGCCGAACATCTGCAATTGTCCATCGTATTGACACTGGCACCCACGCACCATTGCGTCAGCGTCCATACCGGGTCTCCCACGCCGAACGCCAAGTTATAGACGATCAAGTGTCTGATATGCTCAATCGTGGCGTTATACAGCCGTCTAACAGTCCGTGGGCCTCCCCGGTGGTACTGGTCAAAAAGAAGGACGGGGGCATCCGATTCTGTGTGGATTACAGGCGCCTTAACAAGATCACGCGCAAAGATGTTTATCCGCTCCCCAGAATTGACGACGCTCTCGACTGTTTGCAAGGTGCAGAATTCTTTTCTTCGCTGGATCTTCGATCGGGATACTGGCAGGTACCCATGGATGAAGCTGACCGCGCCAAGACTGCGTTTGTAACTCCGGACGGCTTGTACGAGTTTAACGTGATGCCGTTCGGCCTTTGTAACGCCCCAGCCACCTTCGAGCGTCTGATGGACAACATACTTCGAGGCCTTAAATGGCAGACGTGTCTTTGCTATTTGGACGACGTCGTCGTTTTTTCAAAAGACTTCGATACCCATCTTCTGCGCCTCGCAAGTGTCCTGCATTGCCTTACACATGCTGGGCTCCAACTAAATTTGAAAAAGTGCCATTTTGCCGCCCGGAAGCTCACCATCTTAGGGCATGTTGTCAGCAAGGACGGCGTTCTACCTGATCCTGGAAAACTCCGTGCTGTCGCCCAGTTTCCGAAGCCATCGACACTTAAGGAACTCCGGAGCTTTATCGGCTTATGTTCATACTTTCGCCGATTTGTCCGTAATTTTGCATCTGTCATGGCCCCTTTAACACGGCTACTTTCTGACACCGAGGGCATTTCGGCGTGGTCTTCCAATTGCGATAAGGCATTCGCGAAACTACGTCAATTGCTGACATCTCCACCGATTCTCCGTCACTTTGATCCTGATGCCCCTACAGAAATACACACCGACGCAAGTGGAGTCGGACTTGGCGCTATTCTTGCTCAACGCAAGTCTGGATACGACGAGTACGTCGTTTCTTATGCCAGTCGCACTCTTACTAGGGCTGAACAGAATTATTCAGTCACAGAAAAAGAATGTCTAGCCATCGTCTGGGCAATCACAAAATTTCGACCCTACGTCTATGGCCGTCCATTTGACGTCGTGACTGATCACCACGCCCTCTGCTGGTTATCGTCACTAAAAGACCCATCTGGCCGTCTCGCTCGTTGGGCGTTACGCCTCCAAGACTATGATATCCGTGTCGTCTACAGGTCAGGCCGCAAACATTCAGATGCCGACGCTCTCTCCCGCTCTCCACTTCCCCATGAACACGGAAGTACTTCTGTATCCAGCCTCGATGCTGTGGCACTTTCGTACGCGGACATGCCCTATGAACAGCGCCAAGACGCTTGGATAGCCTCTATGATAGAGTTACTGTCTCAGCCGTCCCAAGTTACGCCCAATCGTTCACTGCAGCGCACAGCTCGACACTTTACCATCCGCGATGGACTCCTGTACCGTCGCAACTACCTTTCTGACGGCCGCAAGTGGTTGCTTGTGATTCCTCGCCACCTACGTGCCGACATTTGCGACTCTTTTCACGCGGATCCTCAATGCGGCCACGCCGGTGTGATAAAAACGTATGCACGTCTCCGGCTGCGCTACTATTGG